GCCAAAATTACCGGCGTCTTTGGGGCCATTGTTGGCAGGTGTAATCGACTCTTTAGTATTATGAGTTCCCGGGATGAGAACAGGGCTAGGGCTCCTGGGCAACTCGAATTGAAAGCCATGATCCGGTTGTACAATAGGATCAACTTGCATGTGTGCGCCATCATTGCCGGGAGATATATATAGTGGTGGACTGGATCGTGACATCCTTTGAGCGTTTCCCAATAAGCCTTGCTTCATATCATCACCGAGGGCGGCCTTTCTAGTTGATCCAGTAAAGCTTGATGCATCATCTTGAGCCCCTCTTGACTGCGATCTGACAGATGCATTGTCACCTAGAAACGAGGTCGCGTGCCGATATTTATCATCGCCGCCTATAGATCTGGACAAGGAATGCAGCGAATCCCGGGAGCCGTGCAGGCCTGGGGGTAGTAGGTAAGGACTCGGGCCAATATCCAATGAGATGCCCTTGTTGTGATTGTAACTCCCATTGGACTTTTCAGTCTGCCGCATCGCTTTTCCTCCACTCGTGGGCTCCAGATCCAAGCCGAAATCAAGCGATCTATGCTTGTCATTGGCATCTTCGTTCCGGAGCTTCCTCACATTTCTTCGATGTAGATAAATTAGGACGATTACGGCACAAAGTATCGGAACCCTATACTTCAATCAATTACCATCCCATATACAGATCCATGCGGTTTTCAATGAGCCAAAACTTTTTCTTTCTCTCTCTCTCTTTTTTTTATTTTTATTTTTTTTTCCAAGGTGTGGGAGGAGGGGGCTTGTGGAATCAGAAGGGAATCCCGACATACACTGCTCCCAGCACGACAGGTAGAGTCGTCGTCGTAGTCGTGCTAGTAGGTTTCTCGCATTTACTTGAGGTATCTCCAGATGAACAGGTCTGACTAGGGTCGGAATCCCTTTTCACAAATGTTGGTGTTTCTGGCACAAGATATGGTAGTCGATGACGAGGTACTGTATCCGGGCGACGTGGGGGGGATCGAACCACCATATGAATGTCATGGTGAGCTTGGTGTCGGTGGTGATAATGCATGATCGCCCGAAGCCCAGGTGCGATTGGGGCAACAGGCGGACTCAAAGGGTATGACAACACCAGATAGTACTACCCTTAGTCGTGCTTCATGTGTCCTTGGAGACCAGACAATATACGGCAAAATCACCTGGATACTTGTGCACGTGAGTCATGAAAAACAAAGATTGAACAAGGCAAGATATCAGCGAGTAGAAAATATGATCAGTCGCATATATTAAGAGATGGCAGTTCTTAATAGAGTGGCTGACAGAGAACGACGGAATCAACGCCGAGAACACACTTGTTGCAAATGAATGAACAGAAGCGGGTAAGCTCCCTTAAACGAATGGCGGCCAGTGGCCAGGAAGGGCAATAATGAATGTCTATGATCTTAGTGAGGAGATCGCAGTTTGGAAAATGACAACAGGGAATGAAGAAGAAGGAAGGGGAGAAAAACAATAAATCGCAAAAACGAAAGAAGGAGAGGTCGAAGAAAAAAGCAAAAGGACAAGAAGGGGGAAAGTCAGAGAGAGAGAGAGGGTGAGCGTAAGAAAGAATAGGTAGTTAGTAGCGGTCTAGATGGCCTGTTTTGTTCTGTACCTACAGTAGGTTGTGGGGAAACACTATTGGGGTGTATCATCGAATAAGACAAGCGACAAATGGTACTGTACTGTCACTCGAAACATAGGTTATTAGCCAGGTACTAAATCTACTAAGGTCAGGCTAAGTTTCATCCCGTCGCAATGATCAGGAGAACAGTGCTAGTAAACAGTACAGCCTCTGTGTAATTGAAGCTAGTACCACTCCGTACCACTACTTACATACGGCTTACGGGTCCCCCTGAATCATAGTGGTCCGGGCCATCATCAAGTAATGAAAAGCGGAGTCAAGAGCCATAGGGCAACAGTGTACTCCGTATAGATGAAACCCCTTAATAGAACCCTTGTCCATCGATTGTGTTTTACTATGGTTACATACTTGCCTCTAGAAGCTACTTCGTCCTGATAATCAATTTTAAAGGTTCTCTGTGTATATGCTGTTCCTGGAGAGCGCTGTATCTACATCGCTACATGCGTTGGTATTGAACATTGAGGTGCTTGTATCTAAAATAAGCGATCCCCTGAGTAAAAAATTCGGGAAAAGTGGGGATGCCAAGATTTTTTAGCGTCAGGAACCCGCTCTACTTTTGGCCAATATTATAACTGATTTGAAGCTGGCCCCCTTTCGGCGCCTGCCCCACCTATCACAAGTGGTACGAGGCCTGGTATGTACTCCGTATATTGTACATACTCGGTACGTCCTACTCCGTGCCTACTACTAGTAATATGTAGTACCTCAGTATCTTGTCGTACCTGATTAGCTAATGACTCCAGATAACTTAGTTATAACTAGTTCAAACTAACTATAACTATCTCTGTCCAACCAAATCGCCTGCTCCGTGCTTATCGTTGCTAACGTTTTAGGCCCCGATCACGCTACCCACTTTTACTCGGGAGTACATATTACCAGCCTTCTGTTACTCTCCAAGTAGTACACATTAGGCGAAGGAATCCATGTATAGCCGTCTCTTAGTTTCGTCCTCATATCATTCAGTACTAATAAGGGCAAGACAACGGCGCACCCTGCTACTTGAAAGGTATTGTTGTGTTGACCTGTCGCTTCAGCTGCTCAACTGCCTTGCAATGCGGAGTATATATACCGAGTAGTTATTCGCTATCTATCGCCAGCCACTCACTTTACTAAGCAGCCACAAGCAACTCCCGCTACGAAGGCAGGTTGAAGATGGGGGCGGAGAGAAGGCATTTGTTGAACACCATACTTACCTCCTTAGAGTAATACTGGACTTGCTAGTAGTACGAGATTCGACCGTCTCACAAACAGCTAATGAGCCCAGAAGGACATTCACAAGTTTGCAGGATCCTTGCCGGCGAGTATGTATGTGCCGACAACAGCACGGGGGAGCGACTACCCTACTATCTGCTGCATCTGATATTACACCAGGGTAGACCTGAGCTGACTTCCATTGCAAAATACCTTTCATATTGAAATAGTCTCTTTTTTAGTTAGTCGACCATGAGATTGGGGCTCGGGAATTGATCCATTCTACGTATTCCCGGGCATTTCACGTCGCGAAACGTCCCTAGAGGTCTTGTTGATTATATTGTGTGTTCTACTCCTAGACCTCTGATAAATTATATATATATCTCAAGGTCTCGCAACAAAACACTAACTGGCTATGTCACTCCATTGCCATGTTTTCTGTCGATTTATTTATCAATGGGGTGGTAAAAGTTGTTTGTTCGCTGCTCAGTTTGTGTCCAGTCTCGTAGCTTCCACACCTGCCAGGGGTAGCAAATATACAGCGTATTTGTCACTAGTTCATTCATCTAGTCTTTCATAAAGCCCACAGAATAGGGCAATGGCCCCACAACTGCTATTCTGTATACAACAATAGAGCTGACAGGGTTTCTCTCTACAACTTCATTTAGTTGGTATTTTCTCAGAAGACCTAAATCTTGCTAGCTAGATAAGGGCAGGGATGTCTGCTGGTATTATGCAAGTACTTTCAGCTTTCGTGTTAAATGGTATTTTGAAAATGAACACTATCCACCGGTTGTTGTTCGAAAAGCGGCGTAACTACGTTCATAAACCGAGAAACCGACTTGTACATGCCGAGAAGTAATAAGGGAAAATGATATACCGATAGTGACTTTGAAGGATCAATTCACCAAGGGACTCGTCTGCACTTGCGAATCGGCCTAGTCTGGTAAACCCTGTCCATGTTGGGTCGAACATCTGTATAACATACCGCCCCATCTTGCTGTGCTTGTTCATGACTGTATATCCAATTGCTCTTTTTGAGAATATTCATGGGTGTAGCAAGGAAATAAGGTCGAGCCCGTTCTAATGTATAAAGAACTTTCTTTAAGAGATTAATTCCCCAGGGCTATAGTAATGAGCGTGCTGACTAGTCTTGATCCAAAGTATTGAGAAATGCGTTCTACGGGGCATCATAAGTCTATACACCTCTGTTTGTGTTAGGCATCTCCTATGGTAAAAGCGCTGTTACACGCTGTTACATTCTCCACCTCCCTCTTTATAAAGCCCTCTCTCTCCCCCTTTGCTCTTTTCTAGATGCTTATGGGGTCATCCTATGCCTTGCTGTGTGGACAAATTTCATGTTGGAAACCGTCTGATTACCTGCAAAATCAATTTATAAGTTACAACGACCCTGCTGCTTATGGAATCATTAAGCTTTTAAATTTCTCACAAAGTGATGAGAACGATTGGAATATTTGACTTGTTGACATTAGTTAATCTTTCCCAAGTCTTCATCTAGAATTGACATGGTCTTCATGATGTGTCATACACGCCATTATCCATATTTCCATCCCTTCCACCTAACCCTCGCGACCTTCAACAACATATCCGTACACTTTCCGAGTTGTAAGCAAAAGAAAAAGAAAAAGGAGGCAAAGTTAAAAGAACAATCGATGGAAACGGGGAAAAAAAAAAGAAAAAAGAACCAGCGGGCTACCAAGGTAACAAATGTCAGCCATGAATCTAAACTAGAAAATCAGTAAGACAGTTTTCAAAAAAAGAAAGAGAATAAGAAGGATCCAACATTGCAATGCTCTCACAAGGGTCGCCAAGGCATACAACGCAACGCTTCCAGGGGAAATATACACCAATGAGCACACTTGTACACAAGAAATCTATTCAAATAGAGAAACAGTCTCTTGAAAGACGAACTTTCTCGATGAAGAATGGCAAGAAGACCAAAGAAAAAGGAAAAAGGAAGAGGCTATTTAGAAGGGAATTGTCAGAGTTGACACTATATCAGGTGTCCTCTTGCACGTTAGTCGTATGATAAAGACTTGAAACTTTTAAAATCGAAACAAAGAGATGTTAGAGTGAGGCTTGGAAGGTGGAGCACATCATGATAAGCAGAAAACTCGATGCATGCCTGTTAAGCAATGCAGTGCCTCTCAAAAGTCGAAACATCATCATTAGAAGATTGACTGAATATCCGGCTGAACGGAGGGACAGAATGATGCATGCTCTCATCGGACTCAGGTGCGACTCCCTCAGCCCTGCGAATTACTTCCTTGAGAGCACGGGTTACAACACCGGCTCGGATAACGAGGTCACGAAGGGACTGTGTATCGAAGGGGAGTTTTTTTGACCTGGGGGGTTGACAATCCATGAAGGATGAATCGCGAGATATTCGTTGCTGGTAGATCAAATCTAGCACCGAATTTGCCTTGACAGGGGTTTCCTTGTGATCAGAATCGGCAGTGATTTGGGTTGGACCTAATGGCTCAGAGAATGAAGCTCTCCAGGACTCTCCACTGGCTCGTTTGAAGGGTTCGTTCGTTTTGGCCGATTCTTCCTCAGAATCGTCAAAACTGAAGGTGAGAGAGGACGGGGAGCCTGGGGGGAATGGCTATGTTCTTCATCATCAAGGGTGGCCAAGTTGACAATACCCTCTGCTTCTTTCCACAGTTCATTAGATGGTCCACGTACAATGTTCAAGAAACTAGCTTGACGGCGAAGGCGTTTGAGTTCTTCAACTAACAGGGTCAGCTCTTGAACCTGTCCAAACTGTCCATGAAGACTGGCTTGGCGTTCCATGATAGCCTGAGGGACTACCATGCTGCGCCGGGCAACGTTCTTGCTCGCCCGTATGCTCTCGCTGATTGTACTCTCGTCCGCATCCTCAAACTCGAAGTCACTATCCCAGTCTTCACTAACACCCTTGCTGCCTAACCCCCAAGTGCCAAACTTGCCTGATGTTTGCCGTGTCTCGTTGGTAGCTGGATACTCTCTCGATACCGGGACGCTTTGGCTCCGAAGATGCAAGGTATTTGGTGCTTTGCGGCCCGGTGCTCGACTACCTCGGAGCCCAGGCCCATGTTTTCCATGGACCGTGCGGGGACGTCCATCGGGCCCAGAAACTTCGCGGTCACTCCTGGGTTGTTCAGACCAGTCAAAAATATTCATCCTGGGGCAAGATTCAAGCATCTCATTTGTAACGCTGCGCGAATTGGATTTCGTTAAATCGAGAGGAATATCTGACCTGCCATGAGCGAGCAAGAAATCACGGCTAGCATAGTCCCCCTCGAAGTTATTCAAAGACATTCTTGGATATTTCGACTGTTCGTCCAGTTTAACCAATTCTCCAGGTAATGCAGCTACCAGGCTATGGGTGTCTTCATCATCCGTCAAATCGGATGGGAATGATATTCTACTTTCCTCTTCATGCATATATTTTCCCTGAGGGCTAGGGAGAGAGACAGGAACGGATGTTAGCATAAGGTTGGAACGATTGTGACTGTCGTCAAACGGCTGAGAAGCGAAAGTATAATGCGAGGCGAATTGCTTGACATGTAAGGACCTTTCGTCCGCATTGCTGAGTGGTGGATCTCTGTCAAAGATGGTCTCTACCCGAGGAGAATGCAGGCCTGAATTGCTGCTAGTGGTGATATGTGTGCGGATCGAATCGAAAGCGGTGTCGCTCAAGAAATCGGTCTCGTCCTCCTCACCCGAAGTGAAAATACGAGTATCGTCAGAGCCAATAACAGTTGAGGCAGGATCAGATGCGGCAATTGAATGTCGTTTCGGCCGCTGACGGATTGGGCCCTGCAAGACGGACAAAGCCACACCATCTGAAGTAAGTGGACGTTGCCCGGTCTCTCGCAGATATCCAATATCGACGCGAGAGGATGAGATAGCCTTTTTGCAGCTGGGACCCACGAACCCAGGCACTATAAATCCATCGGCTCGCGAGGCAATTAGAGGCCGGCGGAAGATGTTTGGGTCTGTGATGTTGCGTCTTGCACGCGATCGTGGCGACAGCAAGATGGCTCCTTCCGATTTCGCAAAAGGGGGAAGAGAGGCCGAAATTGCCCTCATCTTAGGACGGGCAGGTGCCGTACTGAGGGGCTTGTGAAAATCCGCTTTGTCTGGGGCTGATATTGGTGAGTCGGAGTCATGTGAAACTGATATGGATGGCTGGCGATGATTTTCCTCTGGTGTAAGGGATGTGTCTAACGTTCGGGAAGTATCATTCGGCTTGAACGGATCACGGAACTGCACTGGAGAGGTAGGCGTTGTCTCCGGCGAACTAGCCCCTGTAGAAAACTCCTTGTTTGTAATTGAATTTGCTAGAAGAAGAGCTGGAATAGTATCCGTAGATGGGAGAATTCGCCGTAGTCCATGCTCTTTTGGCTTGGTTGCAGTTGACAGCCTGCGTGCCAGCCTGTCCGGTATCACATCGTATGTGGCAGTTAAATAGGGCTGCCAAGATATATCAACCACAGAGGATTCTCTGGTAGTAGGAAGCAATGGTGTATTCGCAAGAAGACTGGGCTCAAAGTTTAAACTATGAGTTGCCTTGTGTCTCAGTTGCTCAGACCGTTGATGGCTTGTGGCTGGTCTACGAAATAATGTTGTTGAAGAGGGCGAAGGCGCGTGCGCAAATTGAAAATGAGCGCTTGAAGGTTGTGATGGAGGCCGCTTGACGAGTTTGTTGGGTGCTCGGCGCTGACTGGAGGGGCGCGAATGGGTAGGGCTTGTGGGTTCGTTCGATGTTGGAGAGGTAGGACTTTGGCATGAGCTCCGGTTCCCTGGCTGAAACGACAGCCGTCGCACCCAAGAGGAAGACGGCCTTCGGGTATGCAAAGCCGTTGAGGAGTCTTCGTCGACTCGTAGTGGAGGGTTTGATAGAGTCTGACCACGACGCCGCAGTATAATCCCTGCAAGGGATGATTTTCTCCTGTGGTTTGGACATTGAGAGTGGTTCCCTGCGGCAGAATCGCCCCCACTCGCATAGAAAGCCTTGAAATGCGAGGCAGACCTTTTCTCTACTGTCGTTAATGCGGTGGAAGGGCCTGATTGTACGTCGTTGTCTAGCGGCGATCGAGGAGGGTCTGTCGCGCGCGCGCGCTGATCATACAGAGGGAAGGTCTTTTTTCGGAAGCGCGCCGGCTTGGGAGAATCTCGATCTACGCGACCGAGAGCAAAACCAGTTGCTGCAATACCAACAGTGCTGATTGCACAAAGCTGCGTGCTAATGTATTAGTTAAGAACATTCGCAAAGTACCCAAGCTATGAGTGATTATCGGTGTAAGTGCTTCACAAGAAAGACAGCAGTCCAGGGGATAAGAAAGGTGTTCAAAGGGGCGAAGAAGGAAATTGAAAGAAGAGAGCTCACAGTTGATACATGCTCCATCCTTAAAAGGCGCCGAGAATAGTGTCAAGCACCATGAAGCTCAAAGTGGCAACATCGATATTACATGTAATTGATGTCCCATCTGCATTATTATGCACGAGGAGGATCAGCTGGCTTAGCAAATCTAGATTGGGAGCATTTCAGAAAATCGAGGTGGTTTGAAAATTCTAGCCAGACGTTGTAGATAGGATATTATCACGGGTACGGTTGGAGGTGTTTTGGATGTCAAGCACAGTAAAGTCGATGTGCCTTTAGAGTGAGGGGAGCGGCGCGTGGCTGTTGGGAGAAAGGAATGCGAGGACAGCAATAAAGAATATAGTAAAGGAATGGGGAGTAAGAGAATATCAGAGCTGTGGCCAAGTATCGAGTAAAGTCAGAGTAAAAAAGGAAATAATTATCCAAAGGCAGCTAGAAAGTGGAAGGCAGTAGATGAGAAACAGCAAAGGAATAATAATAATAATAAAATAAAAACAACAATAACAAGAGGCTATTGATCAACAAAGGCCTGAGGAGTGGGACACACGGTCACTCTCTTTCCCACCCACGGGCGATGTTCTTCTGGTTCTAGTTTAAAGGAATGGATCACGCTAGGAGAGTGTCCACCCCCAGCACAACACCCACACCACCCGGCAAGGTAAATTCGTTCAATATACCACAATAGGGAGAAATATCAATGAAGGGCGGAGAGATATTTTCAGTTTACAGGAATAACAATAATTAGACGTACTATACAACTTTATGCCTTTTGATCTTAGGAAGAAGAGGGAGAGAAAGGGGGGAAAAAAGAAAGAAAGAAAGAAAGAAAAACCCCAGACTGGATATGAACTTGGAGTAGGTATTGATATGTATTTTTTTCTTTTATATTTTCATTCTCCTTCTCCCTCATACCAGAGGTAAGGCATCACCCAAAGTTCAAAAACCAGCTGCCAGTCTAGCAAATTAATTATAGATATGAACATAAATGTCAAACCAAATGCCTTGTTCTCCTAACCACCCTCTTATGAAAGAAACAGTGACAATCAGCAATGCATAACTATAGAATATCTCCAATGAGTGTGTAATAGCCGCAGTATTAATTAGAAGGAACCTATTAGTATCCTAAATCAATCAAAGGATAAGAATAGTGACTTGTGACTGTCCATCATTAGCTGCAGAGAGGGGCAGACACCTGAGAAAGCAAACAAAGTTACAAATTCAAATCTTAAGGGATTCACTAGATCCTTGGATCCCTGTTGAGGTCTAATTAATTAAACAAGGGATTTTCAGATTTCTCACCCTTCCCCTGTTATTGTCATCATCCCTTACGGCTTGACTATTGGTCCAGAACATCGAACCTACTAAAGCTAGATAGGCGCTTTGATATATAGTTAACTGACCAGCTAAATTAGACCTGTGAGAAGGAGATAAGAATAGATCATTAGTATTGTCCCTGTCCAGAGTTCCTAGTGCTGCGGATGTACCAGCGCTGGCTAGAATGAACTCCTATACAGAATAAATAAAAGATTATATGACCAGGGAAGTAACACTATACAGCGAGGCTCACCCCCACTTCGAAGGTTAGTAATAAGGGTAGATTCGGAGCTCATTTCCTCCCTAGCTTGCCGAAAAGCAAATTCTTACAAAGAAAGTTAAGATGCCCTTTGACGAGATCATATCTTAGATCGTAAGGCGGTGATCGAACGCTACTAGGTACGGGCTACTTCGGTCGAAACCACTCATTCAAACTGGGATACCCACCGGTTACCGATGTTTGGCTTCCAGGGATACTGAAGGGGACCGCTCGGAGTAGACGGAATATTCTGGACTACTAGATCCAGGAAAATTCCTCTCTCTCTCTCTCTATTTGATTTTATTTTCTTTAACAAAAACTAGAAGAAACATTTCCCATTCTTTCCAAAGAATGGCGACAGAAAGGGGAAAGGATCTCATACTCACCGCGCTTGTCACTTTTCCGATTAATTTCTGTTTATTAACCATAGCGAAGATCGAGAAACGAGCACCTATAGAAGAAGCTTCAACTAAAGGTGAACCTCCTCCGTGTAAGTAGAAAGGGAGGCCATGACGAGGCTTTGTGTCTTTCAAGTGTCAAAATGCCGGGCCAACGGTACGCTGGTAAGCTTATTTTGGAGGACCAGAAGCAGATCGGAAATGATAGATCTAATTTTCCAGGAAGGGAACGTGGCCTGCGAGTTTCTTGAATGGTAATAATTCCGACCTGAACTGTCGGTGGACGAAGTGGGGCCCGCTAAGAAAGTGTAATTAAATAAATAAAGACAAATTCATCTCGGCAAAGGAAAAGAGAGGGAGAGCTGAGAAATATACGGAGTACTCCGTATGTATTACGGGATTATGAATATGCAAAAATTGACTACCGCTATCTTCAGCATGATAATCCACTTACCTAGGTACAACTCTTTCCCCCCTTTCCTTTTTAACCCTTGTAGTCAAATATTATCAGTAAGCAGAAGTCCCGCGGTGTTCCATTACCACCTGCACCCGTGACCTAGGGCGTGGGCGGTTGTTCCAAGGAAGAAAGCGCCGCTCCGTCACTTTGATTGGACCAGCACTTATTTGATCCAGGACCCGTACCTAGGTAGTAGTTTTTACTAGGTACCAGCTCTAGTGAACGACTTGCTTGTAGGTAGTATCTATGATGTAACCCATCTCTGGTGTTTTCCGCTATTTATTGCTTGAACTCTCCATGTGTTTCAGTTTGATCCCTTGTTTAATCCCCTTGCTCTACTACTAGTACCCCGTACCGTCGGATCCTTCTTGAAACTCCCCAAGGCAGGTACACTTGCATCCCTTGCCTAGGCCCACTGCTAGACAGCGTACAAGTATATCCTCGCAGTAGGGACCGCTTGATTACCCAGCGACCTTATAGATACATGCGCGTTGTGTGGTTGATAACTTGGGATGATTTACTACTCGTAGTTGAGAATTTGCCATCATCGAATATCTAGGGATTCCCCCTTTATTTCCCGTTCTTTCTTCCATCTCCATTGCCAGGTTCACGCAATTTTCTACAACAATACTGATCATAGGAGATTCAATCTCATGAATCCCTGCGATGCCCTATCAAACTTGTCCGACTCGACCGACACATCTAGTATAGACCATATTGCTAACCACCTTCTGGAGAGCGGATCAAAGTGGCTACGGCAAGGTGTTTGGTATATAATAGCTTTCTCAGTTCTGATGCTGGGTTAAAGGTACTTTGTCGCGTGCCTCGCCTCGCCTTTCAGTCAACTACCTACTGGATAGAATGATTAGGGATAGAAGGCCTGCAGTCCTGTCCCCAGTTTTTCTTGGAATTTCCTGGGCTACATTACATACAGGAGGCCCTATAGTTTGTATACGCTGCCCCGCAGAAGTTCGACGGTTGCCAGTTTCCAGTTAGATTAGCTTGTAGCATTAGAAACATCTTAATGGTTTACTACTGTAATCTGACTTAAGTGTTATCCATAATCATCATCATCATTATCTTCTTCTTCTTCTTCTTGAGTTATCCTTAGGAGATAGGTCGGTATCCTCTTGGTGGAAGAAATGACCTCTTTTCTATCAGGCCCCATATATGATATGAAAAGAATTGTCATAGATAGCTAATTGATTAAAAAGGGGTAAAACCAAAGCCTTCAGAGTAAGTCTACTAGTATCAGTGGCATATGAGATACAGTAAGTACGTAAACCTAACACTTGGTATAGGCATCCAGTCTGCCCGGAGTGACCTCTATGGAGGCGGGAGCGGGGAGACTTCTGTGAAAGATCAACCAATCCAGAACGGCGTCGGCTCCACTCCGCCCCTCCGCCAAAGTCACTTCAGCCAGAGCCGAAAAAAGAAAGAGAAGACACTCTATGATATTCTATAGGGTCACATAATCGCTCGGTGCTACAGCTCAACTAGTGTTCCTTTTCCTACTCTATACTCTAGATCTCTTCCTCACCTTCCAGGAGCTTTGCTCTTCGATATTAGTGATACCAAGATGGAGGCAGAACTCCAGTCACAGATTCCAGGCCTCGACCATGTGATCTCGGAATACTCTGTGGTATTATTCTAATCGAATTACGATACACGCTGAACATGGTGGACTAATGAATCATAGGGCTATCTGACACATGCTTCAAGGGCATATGTCGAGGACGCAAATGCCCCGTCACCATTGGCGGAAGCCGCTGACATGGTCACTGAGCTTCTGGTTTCTGCATCCGGAGACTTCTCCGACAAAAATGAAAAAGCTATTCGGAACTTAGTGGAAAAGTTCATTTCTTCTTTGAGTTCTGCGGACGGTGTCGATGCGGAGCGGAGGCAAATGCCATTCACTGCTAAGAAGTTAGATCAGGCCATCAATGTTGGGTCCCAGAGAAACATGTCCTCAACTTTGGGACTTGCTGGTGGAAATGTCGACCTGGAATCTGCCAACAGCAGGAAAGTAGAGTCCCGTGTAGACCGCAAGAAGCTTGAAAAGGCAGAGCGAAAGATCCGTGCCAAGCAGGAGAAGAAGCAAATGAAGATGGTGCAATACGAATCGTCCCGTCTCCTCGACCAGCCAGATAGCACCATGTCTTATGAGGAGTTTTTCATGGCTGTTAACCCGCTCCAGCTGGGCTCAGATTCTGCAGCAAAGAGCAAGGACATTAAAATCGATAGCATTGATACCTCTGTTGGTGGTCATCGAATCTTGACCGATGCTTCTCTTACCCTGGCGTACGGTCGACGGTACGGTCTAGTTGGTCAGAATGGTATAGGAAAGTCTACTCTTCTGCGGGCCTTGAGCCGTAGAGAAGTCGCAATCCCAAGCCATATATCGATTTTGCACGTTGAACAGGAGGTATGCATTCAACATCTTTCATTTTTCCTCGCCCCCTCCGTTTATCATCATTCTTTGATTCGATTTGCTGTACCAGTCTGACGATTTTAACTAGATCATGGGTGACGACACTCCTGCTCTGCAAGCGGTTCTGGACGCAGATGTATGGCGAAAGCGTCTTCTCGCAGATCAAGATGTCAGTATTGCTTGTCTTGATAACCTTTGTCCTCAACACGTCCGTCCTTCTGACCTAGTTCGCAGAGAATTACGAAACAATTGACTGCTCTAGAAGCGGAACGATCTTCGATGGCAGACACATCTACAGATGCTGCCAGGCTTGATCACGAAAGGGAGGGTTTAGACATAACCTTAAGTGATATCCACTCCAAACTTTCAGAAATGGAATCGGACAAAGCCGAATCGCGAGCTGCTAGTATCTTGGCTGGTCTTGGATTTTCACCCGAAAGACAACAGTTTGCAACAAAAACCTTTTCTGGTGGTTGGAGAATGAGATTAGCTCTAGCGCGAGCTCTATTCTGCGAGCCAGACTTACTTCTTCTAGATGGTAAGCTCTTATTGCTACCCCACCCATTGTGAAGGAGTAGGAGTCTAAAATGATACAGAGCCCTCCAACATGCTGGACGTTCCGTCCATCACATTCTTATCCAACTACCTCCAGGGATACCCTAGTACTGTTCTCGTGGTCTCGCACGACCGGGCTTTCTTAAACGAGGTTGCCACCGACATTGTGCATCAACACTCTGAAAGGCTGGATTACTATAAGGGGGCCAACTTTGGTGGGTCTATTGGCGATATGGTCGCTCAAGTGACGTTAGCTAATATACTGTAGACTCGTTCTATGCTACCAAGGAGGAACGGAAGAAGAATGCGAAGCGCGAATATGAAAAACAAATGGCAGAAAGAGCACATCTGCAAGGTTGGTGACCGACCCTATGGAGTATGTCCTGCCAAATAAGGCTGATCGTGATCTAGCATTCATCGATAAATTTAGATACAACGCAGCAAAGTCATCTGAGGCGCAATCCCGGATCAAGAAGCTCGAGAGGATGCCAGTCTTGGAAGCCCCAGAGAGTGATTATGTTGTGCATTTCAAATTTCCAGACGTCGAGAAGCTTTCTCCCCCCATTGTACAGATGTCCGAGATTGCCTTCGGTTATTCCAAGGATAAACCCCTTCTAAGAAATGTTGATCTCGATGTGCAACTTGACTCTCGGATAGGAATTGTTGGACCAAACGGTGCTGGTAAAACCACAGTTTTGAAGCTGCTAACTGGCCAGCTTGAGCCCACTTCTGGCCTTCTTTCGCAACATGCTCGCTTACGTATTGGATACTTTGCCCAACATCATGTTGATGCTCTGGACCTGACGACTAGTGCGGTAAGCTTCATGGCGAAGACATACCCTGGAAAGACAGATGAGGAATACCGCAGGCATCTGGGAGCGTACGTTGAACCCTCTGTTAAGTTCACGTGTTGTGGTGCTCGATTACTGACTTGCGATTCCTACCTTTATCAGATTTGGAATCACTGGAATGACTGGGCTTCAAAAGATGGAGCTCCTATCTGGAGGACAAAAATCTCGTGTCGCATTTGCTTGTTTGTCGTTGACAAACCCACACATTTTGGTCCTTGACGAGCCTTCCAATCACTTGGATATTGAAGGTATGGATGCATTGTCTGAGGCATTGCAGAGGTTCGAAGGTGGTGTCGTGATGGTATCCCACGATGTGACAATGTTGCAGAACGTCTGCACTAGTCTTTGGGTGTGCGACAAGGGAACAGTAACCAAGTTCGATGGCACCGTCAACGCCTACAAGAAGATGATCAGTTCGCAAGCCAATGAAGCAGGTGTAGCAGTTGCCCACTAAATAGGGATCATTTGAAACCTAGCGGGTTGAAATCACAAGTTATACTATTGTGGAGTGAGCCTATATATTCCCTTCCTCTACTTCACCTGCAGGTCTGTGAATCAACACCTACTAGTATCTGTCGCTACATAAGAGGGCTGGAAGGTTACGATGTGTATCCGCTTACAGGGGTTTGTGCTCCCCCTGAAAATCCTCCAGAGTACTCATTATTCTGTTGGAGAACCATATGCAAGACCGTCTCCGATTGTTCCATACTTGTCTGGGCACTTTGTTCTAGAAGAGCCATTGCATGACTTTTATCTGTAACTAACTATTCGGAGAGATGATGAATAATATTACAATTGCCTTAGCGCACAGCTATATAAAGGTAGTGGCTAAGCAAGTTAACTAAGTAATAGTGGTATTTCCTGCCATTCAGTATAGCTTGTCGGTTGGCCCTCCATTATAGCATTAACTAGCCATGGGTCCTATGGCTTAGATGGAGAATGATAGCAGAGGGTTGTCAAATTCACGAGATGCTAAGGCTAAACAGATTTGATCAGCGATGTTCTGCGACCTATTATCGAGCTTTGATGAATGTACACCCGAAGTACCTCAACATGAAAGTGTGTTTGCCTCAGGAATCAAACGCTTGAGAGTGGGTCCCAGGATATGCCAAGCTAAACTTCTTCCGTAGCCCCCGATGCTTCTCCATTTCCAACCACATCGTCAACGTGTTTACCCGGGATGGTACCGGTGAATTTATTCAATACCAGGAGTACTCTTCTTAAACATGGGCACTAGACATGAAAGCGATACATTGGACCATAATGCTCCTCTACTTAGCTTTTACGGACACACTACTCACGACCTCCCCGACAATGAAGAGGATAGGCACATTGATAGGGAGTCAAACTGCTCGGGCACTCGATTTATATGGGCATTGACATTCTCTGCTGGTCTTAGTGGGCTATTGTTTGGTTATGAGTACAGCGTGGCCACTTTCACTCTTCAAAGGCAAATGGTTCTAGTGCTACAATTCACTTACTGACAACTGTAATCGTGAAGCACAGGGGTGATTTCCTCAACGCTTGTATCAATCGGCACGGATCTCTCCAACCGCGATCTTACAACACTAGACAAGAGCCTGATTACATCTTGCACAAGCTTGTTTGCTTTGGTAGCGAGTCCCCTTGCTGGGATTCTGGCCGACAGGTTCGGTCGCCGAAGGGTTATATTCATTGCAGATGCGCTGTTCGCTCTAGGAGCTCTTGTGCAGGCAATCTCCAATGAAGTATGGAGTATGATTGCTGGTAGAAGTATTGTGGGATTAGCTGTCGGCGGTGCGAGCTTGGTCACTCCAATGTAGGTCGACATCTAGTACACAATAACCCTAGCCGAAGTCGATCGAGAATGCGCAAGCTGTTTGGTTAGAAAGATTTATAGTTACTAGCTGATTGTTTCATCAGATACATCTCCGAATTGGCACCATCCAATATGAGGGGCAGACTGGTGACGATCCTCTCCTTGTTCATCACAGGTGGTCAAGTTGTAGCATACGTCGTGGGTTGGCTCTTTTCCTCGATTGATGGAGGATGGCGCTGGATCGTTGGCCTTGGAATACTTCCCGCACTCTTCCAGCTTGTTATCCTCACCGCTCTACCTGAAACGCCCCGATGGCTGGCACAAGCAGGATTCGAAACAACTGCTATAACTGTCCTGGGGAAGATCTACCAGGGTCATCCAGACAGTAACTACATTGCTAAACAAATTTTACGGGAAATACAACAGGAGGTAGCGGAAGAAAGGTTGGGCCATCCTGATAGTTCTTCTGGGGCCGACCAACAATGGCTTCACTACATCTCGCAGCGCACCAAAGACCTCTTCTACATTGGCGGCAATAGAAGAGCTTTGATAATAGCAATGATGCTGCAAGGTTCGCAGCAGCTTTGCGGTTTCAACAGCCTTATGTACTTCTCCGGCCTCATATTTTCATCTCTCTCCTTTTCATCGCCGACGCTCACGTCGCTGTCAGTGGCCACGACTAACTTTCTTTTTACATTGCTTGCATTTACCTACATCGATAGAATCGGCCGACGCCGAATCCTCCTTTATTCCATACCTATCATGACACTATCTCTCATCGTTTGCGCAATAGCTTTCTCTTTGGTATCATCAGATTTGACCTCTTATCCACAGACCCGTGCAGGGTCTAGTGACACCGTGACGGGTGACCCAACGCTCCCTATCACCATACTTTTGTGTTTAACGGTTTACACCGCTTCTTACGCCTTCGGGCTTGGCAATGTACCCTGGCAGCAGTCCGAGCTGTTTCCTTTAAGTGTACGGTCTCTCGGGTCTGCATTCGCTACAGCAACGAACTGGACCTCAAACTTCATTGTTGGGCTTACTTTTCTTCCCATGATGGAACTGTTGTCCCCAGGGTGGACCTTTGCGACATATGCGGTCGTCTGTGCAGTTAGCTGGTTTGGTGTGTGGATGATCTATCCTGAAATGAGTGGGCTCGGTTTAGAAGAGGTCAAGGAACTCCTCGCAGATGGCTGGGGTGTCAAGGAAAGTCTGGTGAGGACCCGCAACAACTCCTAAAAAATTTTTTTTAAAAAAAAAGGAAAGAAAAGAAAACAAACAGAAAGAAATCAAGAAATCCTCCACATGTATATGTTTTTATTGATAGGTAGAGGTAGGAGGAGCAACCCGAACTTGCTCTACCGATATTTACTCACCCGCAGGGGGCTTTCACGGATACAGTCATAGAGTTTGTCACCAAATCGAAGAAGAAGAAGAAGAAGAAGAAGAAGAAGAAGAAGAAGAAGAAGAAGAAGAAGAAGAAGAAGAAGAAGAATAACAAAATAAACTAGGCATCCTAGAAGAAAGGCCCTGACAAGTGCAGTGCAGTGGAATGAACTTAGAACCCACCAAGAGATCGAACAGCCAAAACCTCATTGCGAGTTATGATTATCAAAGCAAGAGTAATTATCAGCCACATGTTGTACCGCATCTGGAACGAGGCTCAACGATATAGACGCACCAAGAAGCTTGAAATGTCCTTAGAACTGTCTAGGTTTCGTATAAGGTAATTGTCGGACTATCTCTCGAGACCGTTTGACAACCAGTATTTCCTGAGCACATCGAAAACTGGTCATGGAACCTCCCGAGAATGAGACCAAACTATGCAGAAAGATTATTCCCTCAGATCGTGTTATCTAATGGTGCTCATACTGCTGCAACCATCGGAGATAGGGGCTGGTTTGGTCTCAGAGAAGTTCTGGTCAGGCTCCCATCACAACTGAACTGTGATGGTAGATAGATATTGTCAATTGAGTCTCAGTGCGGAAACAGTTTGCCTTTGCATCAGCGCCGTTGCGATCAGCTACATTTTCTTCGGCTTCTCCAACAACGTTGCGGACGTCTACTCTTTACAAAATTGAGATTACAACACCACTCACTGATCTGAAAAATTCGAACTAGTACCAGCCATTTTGCATATCCGTAATTTCTGGATGTGGTATTTGCTGAGCCCTAATGGAGCCACATACTGCACTTCTTACACGAAGCTACCTATAGATCAAAGACCCAAGGTATTGTCTACTATCAAGGAAAACGTGGAGCTGAGCGCCAAATGGGTAGGTTACTGGTGTAAGTTACAGGGCCTAATCGCACTTGCTGAAGTCAAGCATAATGCCAAACAGCTAGTTTTCCCCTGAAGCATGCGTCCATCCCTACCCAAAAGCAATCGCCGAGCTAGAAAACCGGCAATCATGCGCTGATTTAACCACACACTGGATACAAGGGGACACTGATCCGTTGGTATGTATTATAGCAGAAGATATTGAGGCGAAGAATGCTAACACAGGGCAGTTTCCAGTTCTTTCAAATCAGACCAGACCTGAACACCTTGAATTGGCCACCTGAGTTCAACAAGACAACCCCGATGGTTGGGCCAGTGTCTCCCCGCTTATACTTCTGTGGGTTTCAAAGACTTGACGACGATCTATATCCAGTGCGCGCTTTACTGAGCCCATTCGAGTATCGCAAGGCGGCTTTCCTGGTTGGCAGCGTATATGCTTTGCCATATGCGTCGCAGACCGTGACCAACTCCGGTTGCTTCTTGAGATTAGCGAATCGGAGCCAGGTGACGACGACGCAGCATGTTTACTAAGTGAGCTGTGGCCACTAGGTGAGCTGGAAATTGATTATCTTTGGATTCAAGGTCATGAGGGGGTTATCCTTCTCGGGGGTAAGATCATGTTGGGAAGATGGGTAGATATGATTGACATAATAGAAACAAGACCGTTTATTTTTTCGGACTTTGTAATCTCACACGCACACACACACACACACCCCTTGTTAACCCTTTTGGGAATCACCTAAGCAAGCCCAATATGTCCATCATAGCACGATATGAATTAAAATAATTTGGGGGGCCCTTATTAGGAAACAACGAGAGGGGGGAGAGGAAGAAGGGGAAACTTGAAATTTACTCCTCAATATCCTTCACCTTCTCCCATTGTCCCTTGAGATTTTCCTTCCACAAGCTAACCTTGTTGTCTCCTCCACTCACAGCGAGGATGTTTCCGCTAGGGCTCCAGCTGACCCTCCAGAGCACGGTATCAAATTCGAGCTGCTGGCTGGCCCACTGACCAGGATTCGACGCATCCGAGGTCCAGATGCGAACAGTTTTGTCTTGTGAGGCAGACGCGATGTAGGACTTGGAAAGTATGCTCGGTGACCAAGCAACGTCTCGGACCCAGTCAGAGTGGCCTTCCAATGTCTGAGCGAGATTATAGGATTTAGTTTCCGGGCTGCATAAATACACGGCGTGATTAGTATATTTCCATTCAGGTAGCTATGCGAAATTTGTTATTTGCACGTACTTGTAATCCCAAATCTTGAGCAGATTATCGCTTCCGCCGGTGACGAACCTCCGCTGCTGACCCGGTCCAGGGTTGGCGCTGATCAGGCTGCCGGGAGATGCCGCAGGGGCCCAGCTAATAGAGTTCACTCCCATTCCATGGGCGTGAAAGATCTGATGAGTCCAGCTATTATCCTGGAACTCAAGTACACTAACATGGCCGTCGGAAGAAGCGCAAGCAAGAAGGCACCCACTCTCGTGCGGAGCCCAGGAGACCATGTTCACCGAGGCTGTGTGGAGGGAGAAATCAAAGACCTTTGTCCAGGAGTTTACAGCGACGGGGGATGTTGTGTTCTGATGTTGCTCGCGCCAGATGAGGACCTTTCCATCGTAAGACGAGGAGGCCAGAATTGTACCAAATTTTGGGTGTGCCTAAAGTCAGAGGAAAGAAAATTGTTAATTCAGAGGATCAGTTATGATGAATGTAAATCTGTATGAGATACTTGGGGAGGTTGGTACACACCCATGCGATACACCAAACTGCACCTTCGTGTCTATTACGTTCGTAATTTCCCATGTCAGTAATGGCGCGTTTAAGCACAAAGAGTATGTTCCTCACCCTTTTAGGGTTTCCACCAGGCGATGCGTCTCGCCTTCGATCTCGAATATCTTTATTGTCTTATCCGACGAGCAAGTCGCTAATCTGCGGCCATAGTAGTCCAGGCCAGCGTCATGCTGCGTGTCATAGGTGGGTCAGCCCGGGGAATGCATAGCGCTGAATTCAGACAAGTTCTGTCCTTAGCACGTACAATCATGTCATCGTGTCCGGAGTTGGAGATAATCTGAGCAGCCGCCTAGAATTCCAGGTCGGAACGTCAATGTTTGGAAAGAACAGAACCTGGACGGACTGAAAGGGGGGGAACGCACCATGTTGTCCAATTTGATACCCTTAGCAAATCCTAGGGAACTATATTTGTAGAATATGATTTACTGGACCTTTGAGGCTGCTGATTATAAGTTTCGAGAAAGAGGGCGGCGGTGGAGTGTCGAATCAACACGCAAGCAAATGGGCACAGCAGCAAGTCACCGCCAGCTTGTCCGTTTCGTGGTGGGAGGAGCCGCAGCCAGATCTTATCTTATCGCTTCAGTCTCAGTACAAAAGTACACCCCTTGGCACGTGAGACCGGCCTCGGCTCTACTCGGCTGACTACCCCACGCCTTCTTCTGTATGTATCACTTACAAGCCGACTTCCTTCTTTCCAGTCTTGTAATCAGCCTCCCCTGCCAAAGAGGACTCTCATTATAGTTGTCTCCAAATTCACACCTATATCAACCTTCGTTGATTGCACTAAGTTGTCTATTGAGTCTCATCGTTATCGAAGATCTTCTAGCACCCAGCTTGTGCTATCTCGACATCATGAGTGATGCTCTCTGTGGCCCGTCTAATGCTCTTCAAAACTTCCAGAAGCATGCCTCCATTGATCGGACACTGCAACAGGACAGATTAGTTTCGCGACAGTCGCATTCTCAGGTAAGTTTCTAAGTCTCTACATCCCGTGTGGATCATACCTTCAACAATGCTAAGATCTGGTTTGCGCTGTAGGGCTTTCGGTCACAAAATCCCAACGAAGGTATCCTGGATCCCGAGTCACTGCGTTCGAATCCAATATAACAGGAGCGCCGCTTCCCGATTTACAACACCCAGCCCATTTCGCTACGCCTCCCCATTTCGCGGTACATAACCAAGTAGAGAAGCACAATTGGGCAGCAGACTTTGAGAGGCTACAGATTTCCGGCTCTTCGCCTCTAGCTCATCAACAAGCGGGCCCAGCCTCAGCCTCAGCGTCGAACCTTGCACAGCATGGCTGGCGAAATGATTTTCTAGCCCAGCAGGCGCAACCTAGTCCTACCCAGCAACACCAACCTTTGGCTCAAGGGTTCCAACCTTTCTTTGCGCCTAGCTATCCTATACACGGGGCTGCAGTGAGTGCTTTACCGTCAGCACAAGACCTGACAGCTAGCCAGCTACCATCCACTGAAGCTTTCGATGAGTCTGCCTTTGAAGCTGCGTTTGAACAAGCCAAGGCGGATTTAGCGTCACAGACGGCTGATCACGCACAAAAGCTTACCAATGAGGCTACTAATCCGGATACAACTGCTACTCCTCACGTTGAAGCCATCAGGATTGGTTCAGACACCATACCTCAGACTGAAAAGGATGACGCTCGAGCACGTTACAATGACTCCGACGAGCTTGCTCGAACAGCGGGACTGTTACTGGAAAATGTCAGCCACGATCAGAGCCAGAAATTTCGGGAGAGCAACTTTCTTGCTTTGATGCGCCGTATCCGAGACCGCGAGGTTCATATCGAAGGCGATGAGTTCCGTGAAGTCAGTACCAGTCCGTGATCTCTAGAGTTTCGGCTGGCGTGGCACGAGCGCTGGTATATTTTAGTCTATTTGTGCCGGCCTTTGTTCCTGCTAATCAGATCCCAGACTGTGCAGCCTCTACATCCTGGTGGCAAGTATTATCCTGAAGGGAAAACGCGTATGCAGCAGGGGCGAAGCCCATACACGATGGCAAAGAATCATGACAATAACAGTAAGTAGTAGAATGAACACAAGTCATCCATCAGTCTGTTTGCAGCTTAGAGCCGAGATCTGAGACACGGTACCTGACTAAATGGGTATGTACTACTTAGGTTCTGTTCATGGAAAGTCCATTCCCCCAGATACCGTACTACCTTCTCTTGGAGCGAATGAAACATCCAAGCACACGGCCCAAACAAGCACAATCAATGGTCTAGGCACAGAGCATGATAACCAATCTCTTCACGAAAGTTGGATGTTCGGTGATCGCTGGGCTTAATTTATTGCTCAGCCTTATTGTCCTTGTTTGCCCTTGTTTTTTGAAGGTGTACCGGCAGGAGAAAAAGTTTGTTCGTGGAATATACATGGCATAGAACAGGGAGAGGGCGGTGGCCTTTTTGTTACATACTCTGTAGCATAGGCTCCCACTTTCCTTGGGTTTTCTTTTTTTCTGTTCCTTTCATTGCCCCTGATTTTCTATATCTTGTGGTTGCTGGGGTTCCCACGAGAGCACTGACATGTCAACGACGGTTGTATGTACAGTACCGCACCTTGATGATCGAGAGCAATACCAAACCTGCCGCAGCCCAATAAGAAGGCTGGGGCCATCGTTGCAGCTTCACGGTAGTGATTGGCGGTAATGAGGTGCTTAACTTGATAGGCTCTCTGCCCCGGTTGCGGGGGTTGGCTGAGATACAGCCCTGCCCTATCAACGTGGTGTTGTGAGCAGTGTTGTTGGTCTATTGATGCATCATCTATTGTTAGCAAGGGAACACGGCGTGTAACGTTATATACAAAGTCTATGGTCATGGACAAGTTGGCTGCATATTCAATGTTTCACTGTTCAGTTTTAGCGGAGTCCCAGCTCGCTCATATCGCATAGCATCTCAGTCCCTGTTTCCTTTCCTTTCCTCTTCCTTCTCGATACATATAAATATCGTGCTTTTTGTTCCAGGGCCTTACAGATTTGTCAGGTATCTTATTGAAGCCTCTTATCGTAATATTGCCTGGGCCTTTCCAAGTAAGCTAACCTATGAGTATGTGCATATGTAACAAAGAGTTATCAGATCAGACAAGAGCCACGGGCGCAAATAAAAGGAACGGAAAGCTGGGTTTCACAGACGACATACGTCGTCCATGATGATATAAGGGAGATTTATAAAGAAAGAAAAACGGGCCACTCAGTAACTGATCGTCGCTTTCCAAGCCATGTCCTATAGGTATCGAATAAAGACCCTGTTGGAGATGATAGAACTACCTACTAGTAAACAATCCTTGAGTACCCTATATATTTGCTTTACTAAGCATCATGTTTAGTGAACTGTCTCCGGGTGGTAACTGGCAGCCTTGTACGCCGCTCATCCGCCCTACATGCGCACCAAGTTTGATAATTGCGAGTAGCCTCTGCCTAGGTATCCTTATTTCGTAAGATACTAATCATAGGGCCAAAGGCGTCCGGAAAGACAATGGAAGTACTATACTGAAGCTGAATCCTCTACACTTGCCTCTTGAGCCACAGTACGTTCAATGTTCTAAGCCTTGAATTTTGCTCTTTCCCGTACGTTGTTCTACATTGCTAAAATGTCAAGAGAAAGGAAAAAAGGAAAACAAACCCATGGTAGAAGAAGAAAATAAATGAAACCGCCGACTGGTCATAGTAGCCAGTATACATATCGGTAATACAACAGTCCGGAACAAAAATTCTGGAAAGAGGATAAAGAAGACTTAAGATTGAAGGAGATCGAAGGAGACACTGAATGAGATAAAATATAATCTTTCTCCAATCAGCAAGGTGCGCAGGAAAACTGCGAAAAGAAAAAAA